CCATTTATATAGACAGCCAGTATGTTTTCTCTGCTGTGCATCATTTTGCAAAAAATCTGGAAAACCAGAGGAATGATTACACCAACTGGCAAACCAGTTCACCATGCCAACCTCTTACAACGCCTACTGACTCTTTCATTACTACAGGCAACAATTTTGCTGACAGAGCAGCAAAATAGGCGGCACAACAGGCAAACATCACATTGATGGCAGTAAACACACATCAGATTCCACTGGATGTGTTGAAAAATGAACAAAAAGCAGCAAGCACAGCAGAGCAGGCAAAATGGCTAAAACACGGTGCAGTTCTGACAAACGACTTAATGATGTGTTATGGCAAGCCAGTGTTGCCAAAATTCCTCCACAAAATGGCGGCATTAGTGACTCATGGCTGTACGCATTTGTCAACGGGGGGACTGACCAGTATTGTCAACTCTCATTTCTACACTGTAAATTCTACACTGTAAATTTTGAAACCTCAGCAAAACAATTTGTCAGAACATGCATGACGTGTCAAAAATGTAATGCTCAGGGAAACCTGAGACCACACAATCCATATGGACTTTATTGAGCTAAATGAATGCCAAGGGTAAAAATACACCCTAGTGGTTATAGATGTATTCTCAAAGTGGCCAGAAATCTACCCAGTGAAAAAGGCAGATACAATTTCAGTAGCAAAATGTATGTCTAAGTTGTAGGAAAATAAAGAGATGATTGTAAATGACGAAGAATGTAATGATGTCTATCAAGTGTCTTGCAGATCACAGCCCGGTGACTGGGTTCTGATCAAAGTGCTCCAAAGGAAAAACTGGAGCTTGCAAAATAGCGGAACGACCATCTTGCATCCATCAGAGCCAGTAAGTGAAGCCATCTAAACACAGCTGACGGCAGGCTCGCCCACTTGTTGTGATCTCGCCCGGTGGAGGGGTCAGCTTTCCTGGCCGGGGGGTCTACTCGCGACAGGAGGGTGTGTCCCGTCGTCATGAGGTGGTGGCTCTTAACAACTGCAGCGGCCCTGACCATGGCCGGGCTCCTCACCTTTGCTTCCGTGAGGGACAACAAGTCACGTTATATGGAGAAAAGGCAGACACTGTATGACAAAGGAAAGTACACCAAGTTTCCCCATGGCTATGCCACTAATTTCTGGTGGCAGTTTATGAACACTACAGCTTACTTGAATAATAAAACTGACTGCTATGCAAATACATATACACTTTCTGCCCACCAAGGAACGAGAGGAAGTGTATGGACTGTTCACTCAACGAAACCTGTGCCAGTAATGCGACACTGATGAGCCTCAACTGTCGCTCCAACTACAGCTACCGAATGATACTACAAACAAAGACTCATTACCAGACAGGATGTGCACGGACGGCACCAAGCAGCAAAGGAACCAGAGTTTCGCATCTGAGGAGGAGTGAAATTCTTACAGAGCTTGATCCCCGGCATTGGAGTTGCCGAGGTGCGGGATCATGTGGAAATCAACCGATATGCTCTGCTACGACACATCAACTTAACTAAGGCCCTGGAACCGCCTTAGCAGGAGAACAGCAGGCCATCAGAACGATGGTGCTGCAGAACAGACTGACACTAGACCTGCTAACAGCATCACAAGGAGGAGTTTGCAAGCTGATCGGGGAAACATGTTGCACTTTTATCCCTGATGGATACGAAACTGGAGGAGACATTTATGAAACTTTGCAGAATTTGTCCATTCTGCAAAAATATGTCACTGACCACACATCTGGAGCAGCTACACCGCCATGTCTAAGAGTAATGATTTCAAAGATGATAACAACTACAATGACTGCTTATGTTGCCGTGCCTAAAGAAGAACAGCATCCCGTTGCAATTCTGTTAGAGGAGAACTTGTAATAACTGCTAATGAATGACGTGGTGATTAAAAATGACTTCTGCCTTTTTCAAGTGATCATGCACTGATTAACACATTAGTAGTTTATGCAGGTACAATATAAGGTTTTCACCCTTTTATTTTTTGAAGTTCTCATCCTTTATTTTTTGAAGTTTTCATTTTAAATATGAAGTTTTCATTATTTTACATATAAAGTTTTCAATTTAAGGTTTGCATCATTTTAAGTATAAGGTTTTCATCCTTGTATTTTTTGAGGTTTTCATTTTACATATGAAGTTTTCATCATTTTTAAATACAAAGTTTTCATTTTAGTTTTCACCCTTTTATTTTTTGTAGTTTTCGTTTTAAAATATAAGGTTTTTATCTTTTATTTTTTGTAGTTTTAGTTTTATTATTTTTTCTTGTTTATTCCACTTGTTATTTCATTTACTATGATTTTCATTTACTATGTTTTTCTTTCTATTATTTTCTTTTGTTTTATTCTTTAGACCAAATGACTGCCATTTCTGCTATGCTGACCATTTTGAAAAATTAAAAATTGTTTAAGATACTTAATAAATAACCTTCACAGACAATTGTTGTATACATTTAAAATAAGTTAAGACAGGAGGGAATGTTACAGGAAAAATGATTCTATGTTTCTTTACCTTCTTTTAAATGTACAAAGATGCCTTTTGTCTGCCCTCTGCCTATGGTTAGATTAGTTTAGAATTATCTTTTTAGACTTTCTCAGCAAAGACATACTGTTTTGGGACATATTGTTTTAGATTGTTTTATCTCTCACAGCCTTCTCCCAGCTCTCTGCTGACGAGACTAGCGCCACATATGGAGTTGTTTATTTTATTTGTTTTGTATTTTCTTATCCTGTTCTCACTGTCTTTCCTATAAAAATTACCAAGCCACTGTGCATGGTGTGAGTTGTTCTTAGCAGCTCACCCGTGTACACGTTTGATAAAGAAGGTAACTTTGTCTCATTGTGTCTTTATTTCTCCTGGGTTTTTTTACAGAGTTTTCCCCCAACATTTCTTGGTCCTTCGACAGCCGGATCACCTCCATCGTGTCCCATCTCCGTGACCAGTCCACGTTGTTCGCCTGTCGACAGCCCACACACCAGGTGTGTGGAAAAAGACCAAGAGCGTTAAATTCGGGTCTTGGCCAACGTCTTAGAAAGCGACCCACGGTGGTGGGGCCCGATCGAGGTGGACCAGACCCGGCGACACCGACCAGGTAGATACAGACACACTGACACAATCTTGCGTAAAATCGTATTTTAAATCGCTTTAAATTTAAAAAATTGACACATACGTCGTTTAAGGAGCTCCCAAAGTTCCGAGAAAGAAGTAGTAAAAATCTTAAGATCTAATATTTTCTTAATTTCAGATTTAACTTCGAACCTAAGTAACTCGTTTGCTAACAAGGATGTATTCAATTTCCAATAGTTCAAAAATTCACGGGGGCAACACGACACTGTTGCTATAACCACCATCAGAAAAGTCTGTTAAAAGAGTGTCATATTTCAGACCTTGAACATTATGTGATATGTAGAATCTATCAATCCTTGTTTTAGTTAATGAATCGAATCTAGTGTAATGGACTGTATGTGGATGCAAGTGCCTGTATAAATCACGGAGTGCTGCTTCCTTACAGACTTTAACCAACAATTTGCTTTCCCGCAGTTCTCTAAATTCAACCTTGGATATTCTGTCAGTTGCTTCAGTAACGATGTTAAAATCTCCACACAAATTATATTAAAACCAATCTCTAATAAATACTTCAGTTTTTTCAGTAATTGTATCTTTTTCGTTCGTTCGGGTGCATTATAAACATTAATAATACGCAACCTTTGCCCGTAATAACAGCAATCAACAAGGAGGAGTCGTCCCGGTATTATGTCTCTTCTTTTGATTATATTCACCGCATCTTTTTTAAAGAAAATACCCACTCCGTCAGAGCTGTCTTCCCCTATCGATATTATTGAATGGGCAGTGTTCCACATTTTATTTAATTCACATACATCTTCATCACAGTCGGTCATAGGACATTTCATGGTGGTAACAAAGCAACTCCATTGTACCACCGCCCTCACAGGGAGGCGCCCGAGCGAGATGAGCCATACCACGTCTCTCATGCTTTCGGGTAATAGTTTGTCTTGTATATTTTTAACTATTAATAGATTTTCATCTTGATTTGCATACTTATATTGAATTAAACCGTTATTTTTGGTTTCATTAATTTTTTTAGAATCAGAATCAGAATGGGTTTATTGCCAGATGTTGAGGTTTACAACATTAGAAATTGCTGCGGTGCTTCAGTGCAGACAATAAGAATTAAAGTGCTATGTAGAAGGAAAGATATGTGCATGAATATACATGAATATATACATGAAATAAGAATATGAGTGCTACGTAGAAAGATATATACATGAGTGCAGGTGGATCAGTGCCAAACATGAAATGATGCAGTGTCACAGCGTAGGGTAGTGGGGGGACAATGTGGTTATGTTCAGGCAGAGGGGAAGAACTGTTTGTGGCGAGGTTCTGGTGCGAATGGACGGGCCTCTGCTGAGGGGAGCAGGTCAACAGACTGTGTCCAGGGTGAGAAGGTCAGCTGAGATAGATATTTTTCGTATTATCTTGGAGAATATTTAAACCATAATGTTCCCATTGACTTGATAAGTCACCAAACATAAGTCTGTGGTATGGAACACCCGCTCTGGCCCTGCCTCTTTTCTTTTGCCACAGTTGCTCTTTCCCTCGAACCCACGGGGAACCCCGAGAACTTGCGCTTTGAGTAATTTTTATAAAAGGAATTCGCAAAACAAGCTCTAAGTCTGGGGCTCCCAAACCCCCGTGCTTCCTACTCTTGTATGCGTCCACTCATTTTCCCGAAGCCTTGTAGAAACACTACTTGGCTCGTGCCATTCTTCCTCATGTTCCTTTCCCTGTGACAAGAGCATAAAATGTAGCGAACAGAGGAGACTCGCTGCTCTTAAAGTGTGTGACTGGCTGTGACGCGGTGCCGCTCCTGCTCGTGATTGGTGACGGGCTCCACGTGGAGCATCGCCCCGCCTCGGTGTGTGCTGCTCATTGGATAAAAGTGCATTGATGTTGCGCGCTGCCGCAAGCCTCTCTGCGATTGGTGCGTGACGAATCCACCTGCGATCTGCGGAAATATAAGCGAGGCTTTGAGTTGATCGGAGCTATCCTCGGGAGCCGTGAAGGATGCTTCAGGGGCCGTACAGCAACCTGGACCGGGACCGGCTCCTCATCCGGCTGCCTTTCAAAAGCTTCTCCGTGGGGACGTTTCTGCTGCCGGTGACCGGCTTCATCGCCTGTATCTTCATCTCCCTCTGGTACCACTATGAGGAAGCGACGTACACGCACTGTAAGGTGTCCAACTACCTCCCGTCCATCAGCTCCGCCATCAGCGGTGCGCCCGAGCGCTACATCTGGAGCGGCTGCATCGGGCTCCACTCGGCGCCGCGGTACCTGGTGGCCTTCGCCTACTTCAGCTTCTACCGCAGCCGCTTCGCCGACAGGCTGCCGGAGCTGCTGCTGAGCGGGCTGGCGCTCCTCTGCAGCCTCGCCGAGAACACTGGCCTGGTGATGCTCACGTACGTGTCGTCCACGGAAACCTACAGTGTTCATAAGTACGGGTTCATCACGTTCATAGGGAGCTCGCTGGTGCACATGCTCATTACGTGCTGGCTGTGGTACGTCATCAAGAGACACTACGTGAGCCCAGAGGAAGTGACATCATATCACTGGAAGCTGCGTCTCTTCCTGTTCAACATCAGCTGCTGTGTGATCGCTGCCTACTTCTTCAGACGCCACAACAAATACTGTGAAGCAGGAATCTACTCCCTGTTCGCCGCCTTCGAGTACCTGGTGGTCTTCTCCAACATGGCCTTCCACATGACAGCCTTCTGAGACTTCGGGAGCAAAGAGGTGACCGTGGCCACGCCGCTGGAGGACAAACGATACTGAGCAGGAGGGGGCGGGGCGTTAATGCCGTTTCTGAACTCAAGAGCAGAGAGAGGAGTCTGATGACATCATTCCAACGACACCCTGACCTTCGGAGCAGGACGGCGTGATGGAGACGTGGACCAGAGTTCTTCTTCTGTTGTTGTTTCTCTAGTGTGCCTGTGTCTTTGAATCATCAGAAATGATGCGTATTGATGATGTCACACTTGTTTACAGAAACAGCTGATCAGGGTTTTAATGGTTTTATTTCCACACAGATAAAAACCATCAGAGACTAAATAAATGTGATGGTGATGATGATTTCATGGTGGTGTTCTTCATCCTCGTCGTCACCAGACGTTTAGTTTATTAAAAACAAGAAAAGCTTTTCCAAAGTGGCCGATGAATAAACGCTGAAGGAGAAAGTGTTGGAAATGTAAAGAAATACAAATTAACCTTTGAGTAAAGAACAAAATGTTTTGACAGAAATCAGAGAGGCTCAGACAGTCTGAGCATGTGAAGAGGACGGAGGCGGAGCTGCCGGCCTGCAGTGTTTGTATCTTAAACAATCCTGCAGCACGTTACTGAGAGCACACAGGAAATCGTTTTAGTTACACAGGACGTGAAACATTGCGCGCCGGTTGGCGGCTCACAGACTTTAAAGATGAAAAAAAAAAAGCAAGACTCTTTTTGCTCTTTTTGCTGACAGGCAGCAAGACGACCACATGTCAAGTTTAAAAACTGATTTGTTGAAAACTTCCGGGACATTTAATGTCCTTGTTGGAGTGACAGGGAGTGTTGCAGCCTTGAAACTGCCTCTTGGTCTCCCAGCTTCTTGAACTCTGGGGTGGATGTACGAGTAGTCACTACAGAGCATGCCAAGCACTTTTATAATTCTGCTGAGGTGTCAGCCAAAATCTACAGTGACGAGGATGAATGGGAGCTGTGGAAACAGAGATCTGACCCTGTGCTACACATTGAGCTAAGGCGTTGGGGCAGATCTACTTGTCATTGCCCCTCTTGATGCCAACAGTCTTGGAAAGATTGCTAGTGGTATTTGTGATAATCTGCTGACGTGTGTGGTAAGAGCCTGGGATACCAGTCGTCCTCTTCTGCCCTGCAATGAACACAGCTATGTGGCTGCATCCTATTACAGCCCAGCAGGTATCCAGACTGAAAGAGTTTGGATATGTGGAAATCCCCTGCGTTGCCAAAAAGCTAGTGAGTGGAGATGAAGGTAAAGGTGCCATGGCAGAAGTATCGACAATTGTCAGTCTTGTCAAAGAGTATCTTCAGAAACCAGATGAGTCATCTTTGGAGGCATGAACGTCATATTGTACATCCAAGCAAAGGCCAAAGCAAAAGAAACACTATGCCTTGTTGTTGGATTTGTCAAACTGCCACGGTCCAACACACTCATGGTAAACACATTTACTTGCTTTCACCTGTTTTACTTCATAAATCCACTTCTTAGAATGTGTGGGTGTGTCCAGAACATCATGACTGAGATCTCTCTAAATCCTCTTTTGGTATTGTTAAACCTCTTGGGGCACAGCGGCTTTACATTTCAAAGACGTGCATTGACTTTTTCAACATTAATTCCCCACCTCTGGAGCCTGATCAGCCCAGAGGTTAAAAACAAAAAAGTTGGTAGTGTGAGACGTTAATTTTTAGCTGTCACCATCAGTTTTTTGAGGTACATTTTAAACAGTTTTGTGTTGTTTTTTTGTATATTTATTTTGTTTAGATAGTAACACATTATTTGGTATCCCAAGTAACATAAAAGATAAGGTAGCAACAGCTGCATCTCTCAGAGATGACATGAAAGTGCGTTTTGTATTATGCATTTTTTCCTGACTTGAACAGACAGTTTGAGCCTGTTTACGATGTGCTCGACTTGTTTTTCCTGGAAAGGCTTTCCTCTGAATTTACCTTTGTTTATTCTTTTTGTTTAATGTTAGCTGACGTATTCAGATATAGATATAAGGATAATGAAAACTGCGACATGCCACATTACTGTTTGCTAAGTACCACCCTAAATGAACATCTAATAATATACCTGTTAAAAAGGCCATATTTATACTCCAAGCTGTAAAATGTGCGATTATACATTTTGTTTATTTGCTAAAGGAACTGAAATTTTTGTCATTATCAAAGGGAAAGAGACAAAAGTGCAACAAGTTAAAATTTCAGTCATGTATTCCCATCAGATTCATGAAAGCCGTTGTAATTTGGGGTTTTCTGTGGGTTTTAATTAGTTCTTTGAAGTGTCCTTTTTCCAGGATCGATTATTGAGCATAATCAATCATATCAGACATACAGGATGTGCCTTTAATGACTTAAAAAAACAAGAATTGGGTGCATGAGAATTTCTAACTCTGGTTGTTTTCCTTTTAAGCATAGTCCACACATTTTCATTAGGGTCGGGGAAGGTGATTCCTGAAGCTTGCCTTATCTATTCCAAAACCAGGTTTAGTTTTTGGATTGTTGTCCTGTCCAGCTCTTGATTTGAGAAAAAGTTGACGAATTTGGAGGTAGTCCTCCTCCTTTAATATTCTGCCAGTATTGCTGGAAGCAAAACAGCCCCAGAGCATGCTGCTACCACCACCATGCTTGACAGTTGCTACAGTGTTTGTCCATTTGAAAGCCTCACCTGTGCTCCTCCTAAACATACCTCTTTATTGTCTCAATCTTTGTCACATCTTTGACCATAAAACATTTTTCCAGAAGGCTTGTTCACATGTGGACAGCTGCAAATTTCAGTCGAGCTTAAAGGGTTTGCTTTTGGAGGAGGAGCTTCTTTCTTGGTTGGCAACCTCTCAGTCACTAAAAGTTGTAATCAGTCGCTAACGACGAGTTATTAGACCTTGGCTTTGTCGACCTAAGACACTGTAGAACCTTCAGCACCAATTATTAAAAAATGTAAGTAAGTGCATGTATATATTTGAGCCTGCATTTATATTTTGACCCTGTGTGGATAAGAGACAATCCAAAATGAATTCTTTGTTTGTTTTTTAAAGTCACTGAAGATGAATGGTGAACAATCATTCCACTCTGGGAAAGTTTTAAAATAATAAAAAGCCCAAAATTACCATGACATTCATGCCCATGGTGTGTAAGCTTGGTTGTTCATATGTGTGTGTATATAAAATAAATGATAAAATATGCAAGACTGGAGGCAAAGCCAGAGCTAAGGCCAAGACCCGCTCATCCCGTGCCGGGCTTCAGTTCCCCGTGGGTGGTGTCCACAGACTGCTGCATAAAGGCAACTATGCCGAGCGTGTAGGAGCCGGCGCCCCTGGCAGCTGTGCTCGAGTACCTGACCGCTGAGATCCTGGAGCTGGCTGGCAACGCAGCCCGCGACAACAAGAAGACTCGTATCATCCCGCGTCACTTGCAGCTGGCTGTGCGCAATGACGAGGAGCTCAACAAGCTCCTGGGGGGAGTCACCATCGCTCAGGGTGGTGTGCTGCCCAACATCCAGGCTGTGCTGCTGCCCAAGAAGACCGAGAAGCCCGCCAAGGCCAAGTAAACGCAAAGCGCTCGGCTTCACAAAAAACAAAGCCTCTTTTAAGAGCCACACAATTCTCTCTGAGCAAACATCCTTCTTGCTGTGACTGTGTCTGTAACATTTTGTGTATTGGGAAATGTAGATTATGTATCTTGATTTATTTTGAAATGTATGTTCATTCATGTCATCTTACATAGTCAGGGACTGAAATCCACCTTCAAAATATACTATCATGAGTGCTTAAGCAGTGTGTTTCTTTTATTCACAAGACAAGAATAGACGGTCTTAATATAAAGTCAAATTAAAACTAAAGCAAAAAGCTCTCAGTCTCTCCTGCTGAGTGGTTGAGGCTTGTGCCTTGTTCAACCTCATTGCTCATCTTACTAATTTAGAATAAATAGGATGTCACTAATTATTAGCTTCATAACTACCACTGTAGACACTCATCATGGTTCACTCGCTTGATAATTAAAGCAGTTTCTACGCTCATGGAAACAGACAACACATGGTACATGACACTGTGGCAAGATCACAAACCTTGTCAAACACAATAGGAAATCATAACAACGTGAGGAGAGGGACAGGTGGACTTCTTTGGTGCTGCAGAAACTACCCAGGTACAGAGGGAGGAAAATGTGGAGCTGTTAGCAACATGTTCAGCACCACTGCTGCTAAATATGGGACATTTTGCAAAGTCACTTACATCTACGCTTAGTTAACCCCTGTTTTAAGGACAGTAGTGGGTTTGAGCAGGATTCGAACCTGGGCCTCCTGGTCTCAAGGCGGCTATTCATCCCATTGTGTTCTCAGAGCATATCATGCGACCTTAAAGCTCTCAAGAATTCCATTAAGTTGCTGAACCCTGACCTCTGACGTTGCAAATTAGTTGGTTTAGCTATAAACTTTGGTGTGTAACTCTGTAATATCTATAAAAAAATTAATGAAACCAAAAATGAAGGTGTAATTCAATATAAGTATGCAAATCAAGATGAAAATCTATTAATAGTTAAAAAATATACAAGACAAAATATTACCCGAAAGCATGAGAGACGTGGTATGGCTCATCTCGCTCGGGCGCCTCCCTGTGAGAGCGGTGGTACAGTGGAGTTGTTTCGTTACCACCATGAAATGTCCCATGACCAACTGTGATAAAGATGAGACCCTAGAACATCTTCTATTGGATTGTTATAGGACAACTGAGATCAGGCAGAAAATGACAGAGATTGGCTATGATGTGGATGTTAATATTAAAGCAGTTAAATATGGTTTGTTTAAAGAAAAAATGTGTGACGACAAAAGGAGACTCTTTTGGTTAGTAATGTGTGTAATAAACACACATATTTGGAAAACCCGTGCCAAAGGAGTACTTGAACAAAAGATGATAAGTAGTGATGTGGTGAGTAAACATATCATTACAGATCTGCGGAGAAGACGAACAATGGACCTGAAACTTGGGAAAGTTTTCCCCTGGAATGTATTGAAATTGTAAGTTTTAAAAGTGGTTTGTGGACTCAGATGCTCGATTTTCCTCCTTGTTTGACTTTTTTCTTTGGTGAGTGGTGTGTGATCACGGTTTTGTATATGTAATTGTATGTGTGTGTACATTTTATATGTACTTTTGTATACTTTAAATAAAGTGTTTAAAAAAAAAAGTAAAGGAGGCGCCAAGCGTCACCGTAAAGTTCTCCGTGATAACATCCAGGGCATCACCAAACCCGCTATCCGTCGTCTGGCTCGCCGTGGCGGAGTGAAGCGTATCTTACGGTCTGATCTACGAGGAGACCCGCGGTGTGCTCAAGGTGTTCCTGGA